AACTCTCAGGGTTACATAGTTCATTAAAAACCAAGACGCCACAAGTGTGGAATAAAACTCAGCCATAAGTTTAAGGCTCAAATGGATGGTTTGGCATGGATATGGATTCATGAACTGGGTGACCTATCTATTGGCTGCTAAACCAGTTCTCTACCAGTGCAAGTGCTGGAGTGAACTTAGGGTGACACAAACAGGACAACACACTGGTGAAAGCCATTCTGTGTTTCCCCTGCCAGACAGAAATGAACTAGGTGACTCCCTTAGTGACTCAATTCAAGTTCCCTTATGGGGACACCTGCAGGAATATTTCTTCCCATTTTTTTTCCTATCTATCAAAACGTACTTGAGGAATGTGTTTCAGTTCAGCAGTAGGGATAACAAACAGCAGCTGGACCAGAAAAAAGGAGTGGCATGCTAAAACTTCCTGCTCTCAAGAGATCTCTATATGAAAGGATGGGGACAGCTGGTTGGTCAGGAGGCAGGATGACTGGCTGCTGAATATATCATTTTTTAGGTTGATCTTATGGACATAACCTTTTGCTTTGAGAAACCCCTCCATTTTATTTGGAAGTGGCTTCCTCAACCACCTCCTCATTAAACAGCACTTGGTTGTGTTACAGTTATGCTTGCTACAGATGTTGGAAACCAGTAGAGCCACATGCAACATTTGGCCTAGTTGAAAAAGAGTTCTGGATGTGGTTTTTGCAAGACTAATCTGTCTCTTCTCCAGAAATACACTTAAACTACAGATCCTATGGTATAATGGAGTCTGCTATGGAGGAAGAGGCCAGAAACCAGAGAACTTCCATCCAACTCTTCTGCTACCTGGTCTTCTGCTGCTGGCTGGTCTTTTTGTGAGTAGACTCAATCTCCAGGCCCATTCAATCTGGGAGGCCTGGGAAGAGTTCTTTTGTTTTAACACATGTTGTGTATTGTTTGTGATAGAAACAGCACATTAAGTGGATACTGGTTGCTCTTGGATTGTTACATCAGCTGGTGGTGAGAGAGCCAGATGAAAGACTGGGTAGTAGTGAGATGGCTTTCCAGAACCTTCTACTTGGCTACAAGGCGGCCCCCTGATGGGAGTAGGGTGCTGCTGGACTAGCTAACTATTTGGCCTGGTTGACTGGGAAAACACCCATTGACTGCGTGTTAAGTGCTGTTGTATTAATGTCTTAATTGTCTTTTGTCTTTTCATTTTTTTTGTTTTTGGTTGTTTCTTTGGTTCTGTATGGTTTGTTTTTAATTCAATTTATAAGTCATATAAGTCATACAGGGCAGAAGGAGATATGGTGATGGCAGGGTCACATGTCCTTATAGAGAAATGACAGAAAGTTGTTTAATACATCTCTCACCTTCCAGTCTCTCTGCCAGCCTGGGAACTTGGAGAATGAGCCAGACCACCCACAAGCCTACCCTTGCTCTTAGGTAATGCCAGGTTAGTGAAAAAAGACACACATCATCTATGATCTCCTCAAAGATGAGGGAGCTGACCTGGCATGCTTCACAGAAACTTGGCTGGGGGATAATAGTGGCCAACCTGAGCTCAGGCCCCCCAGCCGAGTGCTGTGTCAGTAAGCAAGTGAGTGAAAGTGGGTGGCGGGGTGGGGTAACTGTAGTCTATAAAGACCATCTTAATCTGACCAAATTACTTACTAGGGAGCTGAATCACATTGACTGTGTGCACCTCAGTCTGAAAACCAGGGATAGACTGGGGACTCTGCTAATGTGCCATTCACCCAGCTGCCTAACAGACTCCATGGCTGAGATCATGGAATTGGACTCGGAGGTATTGTTGCAGTCATCCAGATTTTTGCTTTGGGTGACTTGAGGCCACTTGAAGCCAGTTTGTCAGGTGCAGCTTGGGCCTATTCCAATTGGTTTTGGGGCTGACACATTCAGCAGGTCATACCCTTGACACAATTTTCAGTTTGGAACATACAGATTTTTGAGCAGAGGTGATCAATATCTCAGAGTTGTCATTTTCTCGTCAGGGCTAATATCACAGCAACAACCCACCTATGCAAAGGTAGAGGACCAATTAAAATGGTCCACCCTCAAAGCCTAATGGATCTTCTGAGATTCCATCAATGATGATCCTGTTGAATCCCAGGCCAATAAATGGAATCAGAATCTAAGCAGGGCTAGCAACATGATCACTTCCAAACATCCTCTCCAACACATTACAAACCAGGTTCCCTGGTATAGAGAGACCCTCAGGGCAATGAAACAGAAAGGACGACTAGAGTGCAGATAGCAGAAAACTTGACTTTTAGATGATGAGACACAATATAGAGGGAACCTCTGCTCCTATAAGGTGGCAATATGCACAGCAGAGAAAGCTTTCTTCTCTGCAGGTATTGCACCTGCAGATTCATATCTGGCTGAGTTGTTCAGAGTGGTGAGAGACTTAACTTCGGTACCCACTCCTCCGAACCCATTATTAGAACACTTGGTATGCAACCATTTCACAGATGAAATCTCTTGCATAAAAGCTGACTTAGATGCTGTCATTGGAGCAGAAGCCAACCACAAGGTGTCCAGTAATTCTATGAGTGGGATTACACTGGAATAATTTCAATTGGTGAGTACTGTTGATGTGTGCAAGTAAAGAAGATAAGTTGTTTTCTTGATTTCTGTCCCTCTTGGCTGGTCATCCAAGGGGGAGAAAATTTGATCTCAAATACAACAAATTACTAATGCATTTCTCAGGGTGGGGAATTTTTCATTCTGTTTAAAAGAAGCAGTAGTTAGATCATTGCTGAAAAAGTCCTCCCTGGATCCTCTGGACTTTAATAATTACAGTCAAGTTTCTAACCTTCCTTTTTTGGGCAAAGTGATTGAGAAGGCAGTTGCACTCCAACTTCAGGCAATCTTGGATAACTCACACTTCCTTGACCCATTTCAAACTGGCTTCAGAGCAGGATACAGAGTTGAAACTGCTATGGTCGCCTTAGCGGATCATCTCCATCTTAACACTGACATATGGTGTGTGTCTCTGTTGACAGGTTCCATATGATGGTGCTTGGCAGTAGTTGCTCCTCAAAAATGGAGCTGTTATGTGGCATCCCACAAGGCGCCCTTCTATCCCCAATCCTTTTTAATATTTACATGAAATTGTTTGGGAGAGATCATCTGGAGGCATGCGACAGGGTGTTATCCATGCTCGTGGATCTGTCTCTCCAAGGGTCAGCTTAGGTAGATGCAATGGTCAGGAGTGCTTACTATCAGCTTCAGCTGGTATGCCAGCTAGAATTGGAGGACCTAAATATGGTAGTGCATGCACTGGTAACCTCAAGGTTGGACTTCTGCAATGCACTTTACATTGGGCTGCCTTTTTACTGAGTTCAGAAACTTCAACTGGTTCAAATATGGTGGCCAGATAACAGAAACATTCAATAGTGAACATATTACACCCATACTAAAGTCACTCCACTGACTGCCAATTAGTTTCTGAGTAAAGTACAAAGTGTTAGTTCTGACTTTTAAAGACCTTGGGTCTAGGTTACCTACAGGATTGCCTTCTCCTGTACAATCCACCTGGAACACTTAGATCCTCTGGGAGGGAGATACTCCAACTAGCCAGAACCTGATTAGCGACCATCACTCAGAGGACCTTTTCATCAGCTGCCTCAAGACTGTGGAATGCCCTGCCAGAAGAGCTCTGACAGCTAAATGAACTGTCAGAATTTAAAACATATTTGAAGACCTTCCTCTTCTGGCAGGCCCACCCAGCCAATTTTAATCACAAATTTTAAGCTTGCACCTTATGTTTGATATTTGTTTTGTGTATTTTAATATGTGTTTTTTAGAAATATGTTTTAATGTCTATATTTTATAGAATGTTCTTAGATGATTATGTGTTTTTAATGATGTTTCAACCCACCTCGAGCCACGAGGAGAGGCAGGTAAGAAATAAGGTTGTTGTTGTTGTTATTTAGCCAGGACATTGTTTTAGAAATTAATGTTTTTTCTGCCATCTCAATTTCTATAATGCCCAGTCTGATGAAGAGTTCTAGAGCACTGCAAAGCTCACCTTTTAAAAGATAAATTAAGGTTCTCAAAAAAGTACTGCCTAACCCTGATTTTTTGATCCTAGAAAATGCTTATGCATCCATGAAATATGTGTTGATAATCTTCAATTGTGCAACTGTTATATGCTCCACATGTGGCTACATGTTCAGAAACTTCAATGTTTTCTTGAAGCTTCAACTGCTATTAGTATAGGACTCCACCTGTGGGCAGGAGTGAGCTGACAGAAACATATTAACACCTGTCTCGAATAAACTACACTGCTTCCCAATTCAGTTGTGAGCACAATTAAAAATATTTGTGTTAGTCTTCTAAGTTGCAAATAACCATAAACCAGGTTGCTTTATGCAATGGCTCTGCCCACCAGAAACCTCCAAAATTGAGTTAATCCTAACTGGACAGTGTTCTTAACTGAGGTGTTATTGCAAGTCTTTTGGGAATGACACTTAAAGTGATAACCTGACAGCATGATGAATTTTATACTATTTTCTGTGACGAATGTATGCACTTAAATTGATTTTCACATTGCTTTATGTTTATTTTATTATTTTAATTGCTATTTTTATATTATATTGTTAACTGAGCTAACTGCTCTCTGGAGCATATTTAATGGAACATCAACAACAGAGAAAAAAGAATTACATATTTAGTTGGAAACTGCCATTCCATTTTCCATTTTAGAAACAGTCACAAAAACATATACAACACTCAAGTGCTGTAGCAAAAAAAAACCATAATTATAATTTATTATAAATAAAAGCAATTTATAAATGTAATAGGAAAATTATATTCTGCTCAAGAATACACATGTTTGAAGAAGGAAAAAAAAATAATTAAGAGCTTTTCTTTTAAAATCATTGATCTCCTTTTGCTGAGTCCAAGACAAACCTTTTCTTACAGACTATAAACAAAGCAAGCGTTATATGCATCAAAGTGGAAGAAAATAAATTACTCTGCATGTTACTTACAACTCCAATTGGGAAAGCTAAGACAGCCATCATCCAGTCACGGAGGGAAATGAGTTTTCTGAGCTGTCTTTCTTGTTCTTGGCTGTCATTTCCTTTAGTCAGAAGGCTAGAAAGGTCAGTCAACACGCAGATCCCAAAAAAGACTGCTTGAATAACCTGTGTTAAAAAGACAAATAAAAAAGACAAATATAAATACCTTGAAGGCCAAAGCATGACACAGAAATCCCACGAGCTGGACGGTAGCTCCACTAAATTGAAATAGAGTGTTATGCATTATACCAATGTGCACCAGCTCTACTAAAAACTAACCAGATTCAGTTATTCTTACATTCCACATTGCATTACAACCTGCCAATTCCTAACCAGAAATATTAGAGAATATTAGACATTTGCAGTTGGAACGACATCTTGACCACCTTATGAGACAACTATCCATTTTATCTGAAATTATCAAATGAAATTTGCCCAATCTAATCTAAATGAAGAAGGTAAGTCTGTGATAGTAGTTCTACTGTACACAGGCTTGTGTAAAAATAAATCAAAATAAGCTATAATACTTGCACACAGGGCAGTATTTCAGTAAAACTCTTTCTAACATTACTACTTACTTAGATTCAATTTCATCTTCCTAAATTGGGTGTTGGAATTTGAGGAGCAACAACATGGAAGACAGGAAGGTAACTGGTAAGAAAAGTTTACAATGAGCAGCTCATTGCTACAATGATGTRTGTGTGTGTGTGTGTGTGTGGGGGGGGGGGGGGTTTCCAAGAAGTACAGTAACTTAAAGATGTTTGTATTATCCAAACTTGTTTAAGCATCACACAAAATGGATGGTGATGCAAACTCATAAATATATGGCAACATCACTCCTTTGCAAATTCAATGAGCCATGTGATTTAAAATGCATAAAGCCCAACAGGCAAGGTATTTTTAAATAAAAATATATAGTGACATAAGGAACCCTAGGAACAATCTGAGGAATTTTAGAATAAGAAAATTTGGGTAATTTCCAGGAAATACTCCTTAAGTGAAATCTATGAGAGTACTGAACTGTGTCCAAAATCAGATGTGGAAAGTCCTATGACATCCTGCCTAATGTTAAATTGGACAAAACACTCTTAAATGTTCACTTAGGGACAATGCTGCATTGGCAACATTTTGTGATATGACCTAATCGGGTTTTTATTTTTGTACCGAGGCTTCTATCAAGCCATAAGTAAAGAAGATCTATCCAAAGTAATATAATCTCAAAAAAATCACACACCCACTCTCTAAGGGAATATACTTTGTGCATTTTCCAATCAATCATAAACTGAGCCTGCCTCCATCAGCTGTTCTGTAATGACAAGGTCACAAGGGGAGGGAACAGCAATGTTATCAGACACCTAACCCACAATTTAGCTCAGCTGACAACTATGGGCTACTTCAGTGCTTAGGCTTTTAAATGCATATAAGCACAATTGATAGATCCTTGCAGTATCTGAATAATGAGAACTATGTCTTAGGGTTTCATCACACAAAAAGCGATGAATTGCAATTACAGCAGGATAATAGCATTATGGCTAAGATGTTGTGTTTCTCCCATTGTTACATTGCATTTCCATCATTATTGGGTTGCATCTGTTCATTGACAGGGACAACCCATTAATGGCTCCAATATTGCTGTTGCAGTTCTAATATGGCTCCAACATGGCTCCAATATTCTGTTGCAGTTCTAATATCTCAATAGTCATGTGGGGTGAGCGGATATAATTCTCTTCTTCTCCTCCCTATTCCCAAGCAGGGTGAACTCACTCTACTTTCAGTCTCTAGCAAAGAGAACATTGTGTTGCGCAGGAACAGCATTGCTTTTATCCCTTTCCCCAGGTTTTATTTTATTTTTCAGTTTATTTTGACATGAATTCATAAATACAGTATTTAGATGGCTTGCAATTATGACAGCAACCTCAATTTCCAAGAAGCATAGAAATTGTGCAACTGCAGCATAAGAAAAAAACACAAACAAAAATTTCAACATTTCGCATTTACTACATTGGATGGATGTTGGTAGCAAGACAGGGTCAAACAAAGACTGATTGTGTGGACATGCATCACTAAAGCAACACCAAAATGATATTGGTGATAAGGTGTGAAAGTGACTGTTTCCAGATTGATAAATTTATGTTTTTTTAAATACACAACAACAACAATATGATTGATGTGAGACAACTGGCTTGGGTGATAAAGTTCTTAGCCAAACTTCTAATAGGCCAGTTTGCCAAATACATGATACAGATACATGACTTCTTAAAATGTTAAAACTGCAACTCTCCAACTATTTCCTAGTCACACTGAAGACATGTGACGTGTCCCTAGGATTTCAGCCAGTCAATATGTCAGTTCTGCACGGAGCTGAGAGAGGGCATAAAGTGGCTTGGACAAAATGGAAAGCTGTTGGCTTCATTATTACGCCTTTTTCAAAATAATGAACACATATGTAAATTAAAACAATAAGACCTCTCAATCCCTCAGATTTTCATTTACATCCAAGTATCTATGATAGAAAAGAAATAGTTTTCATCTATTCCATCTAGACAAGCTGAATGGAGAAGGGATGGGGGAAAGAAAGGAGCAATTCCTCTTTCCCTCTCACATTGCCTCATCCCTTTCGAAATGGTCACTCGAGGGAATGAAAATTGTTTGGTGTCATTTTTGTGCCTGGTTGGCACCACAAATGGCAGATAGAAGGGGGCATGGTAAGGGTTGTGGGCAAGTGACACCAAATTGGGTCTGATGCCACTTGGCCATGCAACCACCATCAAGTCACCTTACTGGTTCAGGGCCGCACTGTGCAGCCATCACCCTTCCCCCAAACTCCAGCAATCATGCTCCAAATTACCCCATTCTAGATTTGGCAAATTCCTGTAGGAGAGAAAGTTACCTGTATTTTTGGCTATGGGAGGAAATAATAAACCTGTGTTGAAATTTGAAAATGATAAAGCAAACTGCATAATACATGACTTTTTTGACAAAGGGCCCACCCGGCTAGAAACATTTATTAGGAAATAGAGAACCATTAAAAGAGAAAACCACAGGAAACCTCCCAAATTCCTTAATGAGCATTAGTTAATGTTATTTATGATTGGCAAAATTTAGGAAATACTAATATTCATAACAAGATAATTGTCAAAGCTTTAATAACACTCTTTACTAACTAAAAGGTGCAAGATGACACAATAAAGCTATCACAACATTGCTCAGCAAGCTAAAAAACGCTTTGCTGTGTTCATTTGTGATTTTATCCACAATTAAGGAAAGCTATGAGCCCAATCAACCAGATATTTGCCAGTCAATATTGTCTGTTCTGACTGGCAGCACCTCTTCGTGGTATCCAGTTTTTTTCCCCCCATTAGCCTTGCTACTTGACACTTTAAATGAAAATGCTAGGGACTGATTTTGAGAATACGTAAGTGCACAGAAAGCATTGGCCACACTTTTATCATGTTCGTAATATTCTCATAGAGGCTGGACGTCTAAATACCCTAAAGGTCCCAGGTCCCATCTGATCTTGGAAGCTAAGCAGGGTCAGACCTGATTAGTACCTGGATTGGAGTCTGCCAACTAATATCAGGTGCTTTAGGGTGATTTTAGGGAGGGAAAATGACAAACCCACTCTAAGTATTCTTTGCCTGAGAAAACGCTAATAGATTCATGGGAGCATCACAAGTCAATAGGTGACTTGGTTCTATGTACTCTAGAATACAATTTGAACTGCATTGTTTGAAGCTTCATTATATGGCAGTGTAGATAGAGCCTTGAATACACATACACACAGATTCGCAGCAAAGACAAGATGCATTTTGGGATAGGTGTGGAATAAATCAGATTTACTGGGAAACAAACGTTCTTTGTGGCTAATTTCTTCAAGCCCATGCCTGTTATACACTTTTAATCAATGGAACAGTTCAGGCCCAGACTATTTGAAAAATCGGATCTTCTTGTATAAACCAACACAAGCACTTTGAGCTGCGGAGGAGGCCCTGCTCTCAGTTCCACCTCCATCTCAAGCACGATTGGTGGGAACAAGAAGGGGGACTTCTCCGTGGCCGCTCCTCACCTCTGGAACACCATTCCTAAAGAACTAAAAATGGCCGCTTCTCTCATTTCCTTTAAAAAGCTTTTAAAGACTCATTTGGGTAATCTATCTTGGGGAGGGGCGGAGGTTTAGCATATCTGACATACACCATCTAGACAAGGGATATTTGCCTCAGCTTATATTATGTTTTAAATATATTGTGCATTAATTGGTATGACTCTTTGTGTGTATTATGTTTATTTAGTTTAACCTTAGGTTTCAATTGTTTATCAGTTATATTGAATTTATTTTATATTTTGCCTTGATTGCCTATTTGTTTTTGGGCACTGAATGTTTGCTATTTTTATTATTTTTTGTAAGAGGGCAGGTAATAAAGTTTTTAAATCTCTCTGTGTTATTGTCTATATGTGAGTTATATTAATTGTATTGTTTTATTTGCTTATTGCTTGTTGGTTTTATTGATGTGTTGTTGGGCTTGGCCTCATGTAAGCCCCTCCGAGTCCCCTTGGAGAGATGGTGGTGGGATATAAATAAATATACATAGCACTTTACAAATAAAAAAACAACAGAACAAATCCCTACCATCAGGTTTACAATCAGGTTTATTATTATTAAAGTTTTGTTGTTGTTTTTATATTGGTATGTAGTTATAACTAATAACCTTTGACAGGTCCATCTCATATCCTTTTTTGTCTTGTCTTAATTAGATTGTAAACCTGATGGTAGGGATTTGTTCTGTTGTTTTTTTATTTGTAAAGTGCTATGTAAAGTGATGGTACTCTACCTAATTCAGATCTTCAGGAACTGCAGAAGACAGTAATACCTAGAAATTTTTTTCTGTTTGAATGGAGAGATATACTATCAGCTCAAACAGGCAGCAGCTGGAAATGGTAGCAAAATCATTTATATCTTTCTCCATGCAAAAATAAATTTATTGAAAACTTGCCAGGTCACATCTTCACCTTGTTAAGTTCACTAGAGCCACAAGTCTGGTTTTTCTTCTTGCTGCGAAGCAACTAGAATATGATTTATTTCCTCTGATTATCTCTTATGACCTTTCTTGTCACCTCTATGCACACCT